CTGCTAGGGGTCCAGCTGGGCCTGGCTGCTGGCCTGAGGCCTCCCCGTGGAAGGGGAACAGACAGGTGACTCCTTCGTAGAGGCCACGGGCGCTCTCCATCTGTGTCCCTGTCACTGCGTGGAGATGAGAGGTGGAAGGCGAGGTGTGCCTGTGGGCGGTGCCTGCTGCGGGACCTGTGGGGCTCGGTGCACAGTGGGAAGCACAGGGCTCCTCGATCGGGACTTACAAGAATCCGCGATGGTGACAGCAGAGCACTGCCCCAAGCACAGGCCCTCTGGTGCGGCCCGGGAGCTTGCAGGGGTCTCAGGCCTTGAAGCTGGCCCTGACCCTCAGTGTGGGTGAAGCATGTCCCCCGACTGTCTTCCTTCTGTTCTTGCGTTCCTTTCTCTGTTTTCTTGAGGTCTTCTTCTTCTCATACAGGCCATGTCTTGCAAGTCTGTGTTTGGGTTTGTTTTTCTTTGCGTAACCCCAGGAATCAGATCACGCCAAAGCCAGTGGTCTTGCCACCACCAACGTGGGTTCTGAATCCAAACACAAAGATGGCGCCAGGTGTGGTCTTACACATGGTGGCTAGTTTTCCCCGGATTTCTGTCTTGGGTCCTGTTGCCTTCCCAGGGTGAAGGACGTCAATGACGATTTGCTTCCACTGAAGTAGCCAGTTGGCCGTGAACTTCCTGGTTCGGATAGTTACCGTGCCGTTCATGGTGAAGGTTGATCTTCAAGCAGTGAGGGAGGAAAAGAGCCACTTGGATTTTTTTTTTTAAGTCAGCAATAAAGCTGGACAAAGAGTAAATTACGTTAAATGTGAAAAGCCAGGAAGAACCCATGCTTCCTGCCACCACCCAGGGCTGGGGTTGCACACCCCGGGGCAGGTGGGGAGGAGTGGCACCTGGGAGAGGAAGCCCTTCGGCCACCAGCTTTGTGTCTAAAAGGCACCGCGTGATGCCAGGGAAGTGCTTCGGGGGAACGCTCCCGGGGTGCCTTCTTTCCCTGAAAGTCTGGGCTGTTTCCCTCTTTCTTGCAGAACCAATCCCGGGAACCACAGGCAGCAACACAGACATCCCAGGCGACGCCGAGGAGGGGAGGTCCAGGACCGTGGTGGCCGTCATTGCGCTGCTGCTGACCGTGATTGTGGCGGCGGCCGCAGGCTGGTGGTGCAGGAGCCGGTGTCCTCGCCGCCGGGGCTACTACACAGGTACCAGGCGGGGCGCACGTGTAGCTGCTGGCGTTTGTTTATTTGGTGGGAATCGGTGCTTTTGCCTTTCTCAAGATGTTTATAAACTCTGCAAGGAGGTGGTTTCGTCTCAAGTGCAGTTTTAGTGGCGTTAGCATCCCGAGCGAGCACAGCTCCGCCAAAGCTCCCGCACGAGTCTGAGGCCCCTTCCTGACGCCGTCTCCCGGTTTGGGGTGGGGGAGAGGATGGGCTCCGAATCTAGAGGTCAGGATGGAGTTCATTTCTGCGGGAGCCGAGCTGCCCATCGGCCAGGCCGCAGAGGGCGCCCTGAGTCTGGGCACAAAGCATCTCAATGTGCTTCCCACGCTTCCCTCCTACAGAGCAGAGCGTCTGCCCTGAGAGCGGGGTGCCCCCTGGGAGTCTGTTCTCAGCCCAAGCACTTGAGCCACGGGGGTCTTTAGACCACCCCTCCCCCCCCCCTCCCCAGGGCCTACCCTGAGCATATTCCTGGTTTGTTCCAACAGGTGCCCAGGCTGCGAGGCCAGAGCGGGGGTTCACCGGTGAGTTTGCCAGAGGCTTGGGGAGGAAGCGGGCAGGTTCCGCGGGCCTGGGCAGCCTGGCAGCCGCTCCCTCCACGTTCGCCACTCGGCACGAGCGTTACCTGGTGACTGGGCCAGGCACAGGGCCTCTGTGTTCAGAGACACCGAACCCCAGTGCAGGCACTTTCCACCGGCCCTGCCGCCAAGTCCTGCCCGGGGGCCACTTGCTGACGCTGGAACTTTCCACGCACACACAGGGCAGGAGAGCGAGCAAAATGAGGGCCCTGCACCTCCACCCAGCCTCCATTCTCCTTCCTCACTGCCCTGCCCTCCCACCCCACCCCTACGGGGGGCTTAAGTGGGTTCGGACACTGAGTCCTTACTAATAGAACAGTATCGGGTGTTTCCCGGGGAACCGAGCACCCCACGGTCCCGGGAGCAAAGGTCGGTGTGACTCCCACCCCAAGTCGGGAACAATCTTCACCCACAGTCTCCAATTCCCAGCAGCTGCCGCGGGCTGCGCGTGGCTTTGCAGTCAGACCAGCCCTCGCTCGACACTGTAGGCAAACCACTGCCCTGCCTGACCCCATCCCTCTACCCGGGGAGCCTGGGCCTGTGGCCGACTGCGGCTGCAGGAGGGGCGCTCCCGGCCCGCAAGCCAGTTGGGGATGACACACCCTTCAGACAGCAGACAGCGGGGCGGCCTGACCCGAGGCTGCGGAGCAGCCGCTGCAGGCGAGTGTTCACATCCCTCTCCCTTCTCTTCCCTCCAAGACCTTCACGTTTGACAAGAACTCACCACCCAGGACGTGGACCCGGCTCCCGAGAGACGCCACCCGGAGGGACGGCAGAAGGATGCTGGGGAACTGCCTCCGGGCAGGCTGGTGGCCAAGGGCAGCTCAGCCTGCGCCCTTAGCAAAGAGCTTCATGGACACGAAGCCTCTCTGGCCTGGGGTCCCTTCCCCTGGAAAGACCGCACTTAACCCCAGGGGAGCAGGTGCCCCAGCTTCGCTGCCAAACACAGCAGAAAGGGACCCCGAGACGGCTCCTTCCCGCCTCCAGCCCTTCTCCGGGTCCCGACGCACGCTGTGGGGCGAGGGGTCTCAGTGACAGGAGGACAGGCCCCGTGTGGATGGAAGAGGGACGGCGCCGCTCTCTCCCGGGGGCCCTGCAGGGTGAGGTGCGGAGGGTGTTTGCGGGGCCCCGTGGTTGCCTGTGCACGTGTGCGCATCCCGCCTGCAGGGAACGGTCAACACGGAGACCCTGGCGTTCGCTTTCCTCTGAGACCCTCACCGGGGAGAAGCAGCCTCGGGTGTTTGGGTGAAAAGCTCGGCTTCCCTCCTGCAAAAGCACAGCCAAATCCACACGAAGAAGGTTGCTGCAGGCGCCCACGTGCTGGGCCCCGCGGCAGGAGGCCGTGCCCTGGAGGGACTGAGGACACGCCCGGCCAGCGGACACGGGCGTGTGGCCACCAGTCCTTGAGGGGGGCGCGGCACCATGGAGGGGCTCTCCAGTCGGCAGCCTTCAGAGCAGGAATTTCCTCCGAGTGTGGTCCGGGCAGCTCCCTGCACTGCTGCCACGGCCTCTCGCCCGGCCGCCCCTGAGGACCTGCAGGGGGTGATGGAGACCCAACTCAAACACCGGTTCCTCGGAGCCCACGGCCCCCAAGGGATGGGCGTGGGCAGTGTCGTGGCCTCCCCGGGCAGTGCCCACGCTGTGGCCTGGGATGAATCTTGCAGTTTGATGTTTCCAGGGCGTTCTGCGAAGGAGGCTGCCAGGTAACCCAGGTGTGCACACCCCGGAAGATGGGGCCGGAGGTTCCCATGGCCTTCAGCACGGATGGGCCCCAGACCCAGAGTTGGGGCAGAAGTGAGGACCGGGCTCCGTGGTGAAGCTGCGTCCCACACTTGTCACAAGAAATCCTTGGTGTGTTTTGTGGCAAAAAGCCCTCGTGTGGCTTTTACTTGAGGGCGACAAGGGCCCACCAGACTTTTCACATGGAAGCATTAGAAGACACGTGTCATCCCTGAAAGAGCGACAGAAGGGCCACTAACTGGCATTTGGAGCAAAGCACTGGGTGTGGCGCCCACCCTCCGTCCCAGGCCCTGGGCGCCCAGGCGGTGCTGGGGCACCCGCGAAGAGAAGCTGGTGTCCTTCTCGGAGGCAGCGGCAGGGGGGCCTCCCTCAGGCTTCTCCCAGCACGTGCGGACCTGGGCCTGGGGCTCCCGAGGCCACGAGCATGGTCTCCAGGCTCCGTGCCGATTCCTCATCTCGCCGCTGGTCACATGTGCGGGGTGCAGTCCTAGCTGGTTTGGATCAGTGGATAGAGGGCCGGTCTGCGGACTGAAGGGTCCTGGGTTTGATTCCAGTCGGGGGCACATGCCCAATTGTGGGCTCGATCCCCGGTGGGGGGCATGCAGGAGGCAGCCAATCTATGATTCTCATCATTGATGCTTCTCTCTCCCTCTCCCTCTGTGAAATCAATAAATATATATATTTTTTAAAAAGACGTGGCGCATATACACAATGGAATACGACTCGGCCTTAAAGAAGAATGAAATCTTATCATTTGCAGCCACATGCATGGACCTAAAAGGCATTGTGCTGAGTGAAATAAGACAGACAGGGAAAGACACGTGTCATGTGATTTCACTGACATGTGGGTCTGAAAAACAAAACAAACCAGCAGACCAGAAGCAGACGCAGATCCAGAGAACATTTTGACAGTTGCCAGATGGGAGGGGGGTTGAGGGTGGGGAAAAAAGGTGAAGGGATTAAGCAGTACAAATTGGTGGGTACAGAATAGGCCTGGGCAGCGTAGGGAATATGGTCAATAATACTGGGGCAACTGTGTATGGTGCCAGGTGGGCATGAGACATCACTTTGTAAGCTACATAAATGTCTAATCACTAGGTTGCCCACCTGAAATGAACATAATATTGTACATCAACTGTAACTGAAAAGTAAAACATTAAAATTTAAAAAATCATTTTCTAAGAAGGTGGGAGGGGTGTGGATACAGTGTAAAGCAGGGGTGGGCAAACTTTTTGACTCGAGGGCCACAATGGGTTCTTAAACTGGACCGAAGGGCCGGAACAAAAGCATGGATGGAGTGTTTGTGTGAACTAATATAAATTCAAAGTAAACATCATTACATAAAAGGGTACGGTCTTTTTTTTTTAGTTTTATTCATTTCAAACGGGCCGGATCCGGCCTGCGGGCCATAGTTTGCCCACGGCTGGTGTAGAGGCTCGAATCTGTGAGTGATGTGCAGCATCCGAGGGGCCCAGTGTCTCCGAACAGGCCTGGCCATGAAGCGGGCACGTAAGGTCTGGTGTGTCCAGATCTCGAAGATACAGCAATTCCTGCCCTGAAAGTGGTGTGACCTGTGGAGGGGACCCCGGGCCTTGGCAACCACTGGGAAAGGCTGGAGGTGCCCCTGTGGGGGGACAGCAGGCCAGGGCGAGGCAGAGGCCAGGGCAGCACTGCCATCACCCAGGGACGCGGGGGTCTCCGATTCTGCTCAGCTGCCCAGGAACCTGGCACCTGAGCCCGGCAGGGACTTTCCACGCTGCCCTCAGCGCTGAACGTGCAGGGCTCTTTGCAAAAAGGTGTCCAGCATCTCACACGTCCAGAAACGTTCCATTTGTCCCCGTGTCTGCGTCATAAACCTGACTTTTGTTTTTATAACTGATTGGGTTCTCTGTTCATCTTCCAATACACCCTCCAAATGTGAAAAAGAAAAAACTTCCTGTGAGACTAAGCAGACCCATTTGGGAAGGACGAGAGTTCATGTCACCATCTATATTTAATGTGTCCCCGGCAGGGTCAGGCGGGGATGGGATGTCGGAGGGGAAGGGCCCGAGCCAGTGGGGTCAGTGGCTGGGGGTCAGGGACCGTGGGAGAGCCTGCAGTCTGTGCTTCGAAGGACCGTGAAATCTCACAACTGGGAGGGGTTGTGTATAAACATTACTTCTTCATGGGACACATCCAGGAGTCCCTTCCCCTCTACAAGCTACAGGCACCAAGTAAAAACTAGTAGTAACAGGCAGCGGTCAAGGACACCGAAAGAACTGTGAATTTGAGGGCCCAGGCCTGGGCAGGCTACTGGCTGTAGACAAGAGACCCGCGAGCAGAAGGGGCCCCACAGTCACAGGGAGACCCCACACACAGCAAGAGGGACCCAGAGAGGGGGACACCATATTCAGAAGGAGACCCACAGTCAGAGGGTGACCTGCGGTGCGAGGAGGAGATGGTCCTGGAATCGCTCCATCGAGAAGGGTCATGGCCCGAGTCAGCATTCGTGAATCGGCTCCTGGGCATTCATTCCGGCACAGGCTTCCCAGAGGCCCCTGCCAGCTGGTGTCCTGACCCCAGAGTGGCCCCCTCGTCCTGGGGAGACCTGGGCCTGCCCCCGGGGGAGTGAGTTCTGTGTGAGTGGTCGCTTCCGGGAGGGTTCTGGGTTTTGGGGACCACTGTCTGAGCCCCAGGACAGATGTGGGGGGTCATGGGGGTTGCTCCACAATAGGCTTTAAGCATCATGCATCTTCTGCGTGGCCAGGGCATGGGCCAATGGGAGATTGCAATAAAACCCAACAGACTTTTAGTTAAAATTAATAGTACCTCCCCAAATGAACTTCCTGTCTGCCTTTAGGGCCTAAAGGAGGAAGTGACACTTTTGTAGCCCAAGAACCAAGTCGGAAAAGACCCTCTTAAGCACCTAGGTTTCCCAAAGCTGCCCTGGCATTCCTTCCACAACAAAGGAGGAGGGCATCTTGGCGGCCATGGCTTGGGGCCAGGGCCTGAGAGAGGGGTGCCAGCCAGGCCCGTCCACCTTGCAATGCAAGCAATGCCAGTGGGGTGGGGTGGGGAGAGGGAGTCTCTGTGAGGACAAGAGAAGGGGCGTGCAGTGTGTGGGAAAAGGATAGGTGCGCTAGGATGCTAGGTATGAGTCATCACCACTCTCCTCCTCCTCCTCCTCTTGACCAAGAGCTTCCTCTGCAGGGGTGGGCCGGCCACCTCTGGAGGGCACAGAATTTTCAGATACTGAATTGTGCTTGGGGGGTGCGGGGCAGGACCCTGTCCCACCCAAGTCTCTGGCTGTCCTTGGGCTGGCATAATAGCCCCACCCGGGGCAGGGGATGGTGGAGGAAGGGCCTGGGAGGCAGAAGCCACTCTCTCCTTGGAGTGGGGCTCTGTGCCCGTACGTCAGCTGGAATCAACCCCACGCATGTGGCTCAGGTAAGATACGGAGTTCATGTTCCCAGAGACACGCACGGTTCCCGCCCTAAAGCACCGGCTCCTCTGACTGCGCTCCTGGGCTTCCAGGGAGGCTGCAAGGTATCCCATACGAAGGCGAAGGCGACGCCACTGAGGGCGGGGCAGCAGCGCCAGGTCCCTCCTGGACCCCGCTGTGGTCCTGCAGAGGAAGTGTGCCTGCCCAAGGGGGGCTGTCCAGGGCCACCAGCAGGTCAGGACGGGCAGCCATGCTCCAGGGCCGGTCCCCATCAGGCCACAGGGGCGTCTGAGCCCCGCCCATGTCAGCAGGTGAGGTTTAGTAGGGCCACAGGTGAGGGAGGGACGAAGCAGCCATGTAGGTTAGGTTTTACACAGGAAATCATGGTGAACCAGAGTATGATTAGGTAAATACATGAGCTAGTTTTAAAACTCTTTGCATCAAATTCCAAAAAGCCTGCAATATTTTTTCTGGAAAAACTCCAGACTCACTGCTCTAGACTCCCTGGCCCATCTCCATGAAGTGGAGGTTGGGCTTCTTCAGCCCGACAAGAACAGCTTAGGGGCTGCACCCCAACCAGGGCCTCTGTCCCGGGGCCACTCCCAGCCCTGCCCTTCCCTAGTGGTTGGGACGGGCAGAGAGGACGGATCTCCCCCAGCTCCCTGGCGAGAGGTCAGGCTGTGCCCGGTGAAGGTCTCCATCAACAAGGTGGCCGCTCTGCAGGCGCTCACCACTGAGCCTGTCACGCTCTGTCACTTGTGGGCCCGACACCCCCGGCCTTGAAAACAAGCCCCTGCATTTAGCCTGTGTGTCTTCCTACAGCCGCAGCATGAATGGCCTGCATTTGCATGACACAGCAGAAGTCACAGCTCACTGGGCGTTCACAATAACATTGTCATGCAGCTAGACCGGCACCATTGCCCCTTCCCAGGGGCCTGGAAGCTGAGCAGAACCTACCAGCCCACCCGCTGTGGATGGCAGCATTTCCTGACCCCATATATGGGCTTCCTTTCATGGCAACAGAATGAGGTCCCTGTGATTTACTGAGAGAAGACAAGGCTCAGGGGCTTGTGACCCGGGGCCGAACCTGGCTGAGCCAAGCAAGGCACCCAGGGCGCAAAGCCTAGGGCAATGCTCCCTCCAGGGGCCGCGTCTGCACTTGAACCTGCCAGCGTGGTCCTCCGTCAGCTGGCTCTCGGAGGGGGGCACCACACTCCCTTCACCTTTGGTCTGGCCCTGCCTGTCCGAGGCCGTGGGAAACAGTGACTACATATTTAGGAATTTTGCATAATACCCTCTAGGTTCATCCGTGTTGTGGAAAATGGCAAGATTTCATTTTTTATGGCTGAGTAATATTCCATTTTGTATTGATCCCACATCTTTGTCCGTTCGTCTACCAGTGGGTACCTGGGTTGTTGCCATATCTTGGCTATTGTAAATAATGCTGCCATGCACGTGGGTCCATTTTTGTTTTCACATACGTTTTCCTTTTCTTTGGGTATGTACCCAGAACGGGGGCTACTGAGTGGTATGGCAGCTCTCGTTTTAACTTTCTGAGGAACCTCCATGCTGTTTTCCATGGTAGCTGCGCCAACTACACGAGGGTTCCCCTTCTCCACTTCCTCCCCAATGCTTAGCATTTGTTGACTTTCTGATGACAGTCACCCTAACAGGTGTGAGGTGACACCTCATTGTGGTTTTGATTTGCATCTCCAGATGGTGAGTGCTGTTGAGCATCTTTTCGTGTGCCTGTTGGCCGTCTCTACGTCCTCTTTGGAGAAATGTGTCATGTTATGTGAAATAAGTCAGAGAAAGACAAATACTGTAGGATCTTACTTATGTGTGGGCTCAAAGAAACGAAACAAAATAGGAGCAAACTCAGAGATACAGAGAACAATCGATGGCTGTCAGACAGAGGGGTTGAGGGGGATGAGTGAAATGGGAAGGGACTAAGAAATACAAATCACCAGTTACAGTGGGGCCTTGACTTAAGAGTTTAATTCATTCCGTGACGGAGCTCGTAACTCAAATTACTCGTATGTCAAATCATAAAGTGAACGAGTGAGACACGTGATGCTGGGCTGATGTTGTGGCGTTCACTGTGACGTTCGCTGCGCCAACTAGCGGTGGG